ATATATATATATATATACATTATTAAAGAAAAAGAAAAAAAAAATGAGGGAAAAAAAGAAAAAAAAAGAAAAAGAAAAGAAAAGAAGAAAAAAAAGCAAGATAAAACCAAACTATTTTGCACTACCACCCCATAATAAGTATCACCCAATAAGCATGTATCCCCATAAACAATAACAACACCAATCACAATAACAAAGGACAGCGGGCAATGCAACCCCCCCCCCCCTCTCCACACATAAACAACAGAAGCGCGGCGAACAGAGACGAGCAATAAAAGGGTAAGAGCGATAAAAAGAGCAAAAAAGACCAATAAATAATTCAAGAAAAAAAAACACTAACAACGAGCGAATAAAAACGGAACAGACTATTAAAGTTACTACTGGGGTTTCTCCGTCTCTCTTTCTCTTTCCTTTCTTCTCTGTCTCTTTCTCTCCTCCTCTTCTCCCTTCCGCGTTTCCCTCTGCCTGTTTGTCTCTCACTCCTTCTCTGCCTCTCTGTCCCTCTCTTTCTCTCTCTATCTGCTTCTTCGCCTCGCTTCTCTTTCGTTTGTTTGTCTCTCTCCCCCCTCCCTCCCTCCCTCCCTCTCCCTCTCCCTCGCCCTCTCTGCCTTTGTTACCCTCTCCCTTCCCTCTCCTACCTCCTTCCCTCTCGCTCTCCCTCCCTTTCTCTCTCTCTGCCGTTATCCTCCTTCCCCTCTCCCTCTCCCTCTCTGTCTCTGTCTTTGTTACCCTCTCCCTTCCCTCTCCCTCTCCCTCCCTTTCTCTCTCTCCGCCGTTATCCTCCTTCCCCTCTCCCTCTCCCTCTCCCTCTCTGTCTGTTACCCTCTCCCTCTCCCTCCCTCTCCCTCTCTGTCTCTGCATTTGTTACCCTCTCCCTTCCCTCTCCTTCTCCCTCCCTTTCTCTCTCTCTGCCGTTATCCTCCTTCCCCTCTCCCTCTCCCTCTCTGTCTCTGTCTTTGTTACCCTCTCCCTTCCCTCTCCCTCTCCCTCCCTTTCTCTCTCTCCGCCGTTATCCTCCTTCCCCTCTCCCTCTCCCTCTCCCTCTCTGTCTGTTACCCTCTCCCTCTCCCTCCCTCTCCCTCTCTGTCTCTGCATTTGTTACCCTCTCCCTTCCCTCTCCTTCTCCCTCCCTTTCTCTCTCTCTGCCGTTATCCTCC